TAAGGCAGATATACATGGGTTAAAATGTGACCAATTCAGCAGGAACCAGCTGAATTTCAATCCATGTATGGGAAGGCTGGTTTTACACAAGTTGATCTATCTGATTTTTTAGTCACCGTCTATCACTGGCAACACTGGTCATTGTATCCTGACAGTGGGGAAGGCTCCCTGTTGTCAGCATACAATACCGCAACAAGAGGATTCCCCCATTCACATCAACTCGATGGCTGAACAAAAAAATTATCAATGTATGGGCTGCCTTAGTAAAGAATGATGTAAGTATGTCCTTTTACTACATCCTACATACAGTATCTTCAATTTATCAAGCTTACACTTGAGATGTCCGTGTCTCTTTCAGACCCTACCAACCTAGGCCTCCACTACACTTATGGATTTATTCAAAACGTTCAATTTCCAGTAGCCTAAAACTACCAGTCAGAAACTCAGCTTTTAGATGATATAAACTACAAACTAATTGGTTGGCATGTATCACTATACTTTGCATTTGGTCATTGGACTTGTCTGTTAAATCCAGATAGTCGTGCAGACTTCTTTGGGATGGACATCTCTTCCGGTCATGAGGAAAGGACCTGGAGAAAACTCTGGAATTTTACATGGTGGATCAGCTGATTTCAGCAGCATAAAAACAGGGCTCCAGAACAAGAAAAAAATATTGGATCCATGGCTTTGGGGGGGGGGGGGGCACTAAGCCTGATTTAAGATGTTTTAGCAATTTCCCTTTCACTGAACCAGAGGAAGCATTGTGAAGTGTAAAACGAGATACACACTATGAGAAAATCAGAAAATTCCATACAAGGAACAATGATTTGATTTTCGTATAGCGTATGCACAACTTTCGACATATGATATAGACTTTCCAAATGAAAATTTCCAAAGGGACAAACTCCAAAATGTATCTCGTACGTGAACAGAACTAATGATTTTCATTTAACATGTACTGTTTTCATACAATAAAAATCGGATATGAAAGACTGCGAATGATCAGAAACAATAAACAATAATCTACACTAGAACCTTTCTTCATCAAACAAAAAAAAAAGCCTTTGTCGTTCAAGAATTTTCGTACAATTAGTACCATTTTTGGGTTTCGACTTGCTGTGAAACATCAAGGTAAACCTGATGATCGTTCACCCCATTTTTCTATAGTGTGTATCCAGCTTTAGAGGAGAGTTTAGTGTTTAGTTTTAGATTTAGTGTGAGGAGTGTGTGTATATGGTAGCTATTACAAATAATGAGGATTTATGAGGATTTGGGTCCCATCAGAGCTCTTAACAGTTAAGCTACACCCCTGGATTAATTTGCACTTTCCTTTACATTCCTCTGATTTAGTATTTATGAACTTCTGTTATTTTGCCCTTGCCATGAAACATGTTGAAGACATTTCAACAATCCCCTCCTTTGCTTTGAGATGTTCTATGGTGAATTTCTGCACAGTTACCATAGACCATGGCATAGGGTTGCAGAGCTGTTAGGGACAACACACAAACACCTGAAACCTTACCATACCTACATTCTATACAGCACCTTCAAAGTCTGAACATTTTTGGTATTGAACTTAGACTAACCCATTCTGTCTCCCTGTACCTAGAAATTAACTAGGGGGCAGTTTACCTACTGTTTTAGACACTGGCCCTAGGTGAATAGCCAGTTGACTGGGGTAAGGGGGAGGAAGGCCTACAATTGGCCCAGAGGAGCATTAATTATAAATCTGGCCTTTCTTCGAGATCTTGGGCAGTATTTGTGATCCCAGGTCTGTCCTGTGCTGAGTCCATCAGGCAGGGATCTCATTTTCCCAGTTGGAACACTCAACACGTCAAGGCGTTCTGGAAGACCAAGAAACCATCATTGGTGGATCTCAGCACTAAAGTCCCTGAGATATTCAGTATAAGAAGCTACCATGACACTCAACTCAACAGCCTTCTTTTAAATCTAAAATATTATGTTTGGGTGGATTTACTGTTTAATTACAATTTTTCATGTTTGTATTTTTATACTAATTGTGCAACTGGATTGCACAAAGATTGCTTATCTAATTGTTGCAGGGTACAGTCTGATTTATAAGTGTACGGGATATCAGATTTATTCACATAAAATAAATGTAAGTTTGCGCTAAATAAAAATGTACAAAAACAACTGATGGTGTTTATTTGTGGAATTCTTACAGCAGAGATGTCAGATCGTTGTTACTGTTGAAAATGCAATAATCCGCAAGATACAGGTAATGCACAAATAATAAAACACACATTTAAGGAAACCTAATTTAACCCAGTTAGATGTTCATTGAAAATCCTTACAGGAATCTGGGGAAGGAGGGTGGTCCTAGTCAGAGCAACTCAAAATCCATACATCAGGGACTTTCTGGAACCCCCAAAAGTTTGGGCACAAGTAGCTATGACAGCTTCCTGTTTGCTATTTTGGTCCCCTCCTTCCACTCTTCACTCTTTTTTTGGCCACCAAAGGGAAGGCGTGGCATCACAGGTCAACAAGACCTGGAGGATGGGAGGGCAAGAGGAAAAAAAGCAGAGTGCCCTTTTAGGTCATCCATCTGTTTTGGCATTCAGTAGACCTGTTAACCAGTACTGTTATATTAATTAGAAGTGTAATAAAGAATGAATCACTTCATGCTTTGGCAGTAAACCTCACATTTGTACTAAAATTATGTCATTAAACATTAAGTTGTCATTTATGTTCTAAATATAGCAAATTCCCAAATAAAAATTAGACTTGAATCTTTAAAGGGTGGACTGACACTTTAAGTAGTGGGGTGGCCTTGTGAATTACAACTGGGCCTGGATGAAAAGCAGAAGCATCAGAAGGGAGTCTTATGTAACTAAAAAGTTCTATGATTAATTACATAACTTACTTCCCTTCGCATTACAGTCCATGAAAATAATCTTTGGCCCCACACTCATCCTCCTGATCTTTTCAGATTCTCCTGTAGAGCACACCCATTTAATCTTGTGTGGTTAGAGAACGCAGCCTCCAGCATAGTCCTGGGAAAAAATCACTTGTGATTGTTAGGATGACCACATGTTATACAACCTCGTCAGTGGTGAATTTAGACATTCCTTGGGAAAAGGGCAAATTCTCACTTTGTTCTTTAATGTTTGTAGGAATGTGGGATAGGAACAGCACACAGGCCAATGCCTAAAACCTCAAAATACATAAAACATTCCATTGTTTTCCTTTCCCTTTCTGTGCCAGGTCCTGGGAACAGATATGAGAAAACATTTGTATGTTATATATGTTTTTAAAGATAAACTTTGAAGTACAGTGAATTACAGTACCTACCTAACGTCACCTCAACCATAACCACATCCTCTCATTTCTTATCCTAGAGCAGCCTGTAGTCAGGTGCAGTCTACTTTCTCCACTGCAGGTGGCACTGAACCGCAATGGAATTGCGGAGAGAAAGGAGGTCAAGAGGAACATGTTTTCTCTATGGTTTCCTGGGTCACTGGGGAAGCTATCTGGTTGGATGCTGCTGCCCAGTGTGACTCTTGTGGCCATATTTGGTCAGGAAAAGTTTATTTAAGATCCTGGCTTCTGGACTTGGCACACATTTCACTTGTGGGTAGTCTAGGGACAGGTCGCCTATCTACCAGGGACAGTATTAGCGTAGGTAGAGATTCCAGATAAACAGAGAAAGAGCAGGGACATGCTGTCCTTCCTGGACCCCTCCCCATTTGGGCACAGACCAGCCAGGCCACATTCCATCCCTGGAGACAGACTCTGTTGGTGCATCCAAGACTTGCTGTACACTGTTCTTTGCAAGATACTGTGAGTGTGCATGGTTAGGTTGACTTTCTGCCGGGTAGTTGTGCTGGTTTGAACAACATTTACAACACAATGGAAAAAAAGAGAGGGATAGGTGCAGCACTTGAATCAAAACACAAAAATGAATATAAATACTCAGTAAAAATGTCCTAAGGTTAGATACAAATGGAATGCAATAATATGCAGTGCGCTTATTCAATGAGTGATGGTAAAGCACACAATAGTCCACATTCCCAAATCAATTGCTGTGAGGGAGGTGAAAAATCCTAGAAACGAATAGATTGCGCACTCACCAGAAGTGCGTATAAAATACGCATGTAGAGAGATATAATCTTCAAAACATCTCAGGCATCAAGGTTCTGGTCAGGTCGCACTCTACCTCATCCTCTGTCTCACCGTGATCAGCAGTTACCAGGATTCGTCAAACAGTATGGGCGACAAAATTCTCCATGGTCCAAATAGGCACTGTGGGAGATGGTGCTCTCAAAGAGAGCCCAATAAGGGACGCCACATAGTGTGATGCTGTTTGACGAATCCTGGTAACTGCTTATCACGGTGAGACAGAGGATGAGGTAGAGTGCGACCTGACCAGAACCTTGATGCCTGAGATGTTTTGAAGATTATATCTCTCTACATGCGTATTTTATACGCACTTCTGGTGAGTGCGCAATCTATTAGTTTCTAGGATTTTTCACCTCCCTCACAGCAATTGATTTGGAAATGTGGACTATTGTGTGCTTTACCATCACTCATTGAATAAGCGCACTGCATATTATTGCATTCCATTTGTATCTAACCTTAGGACATTTTTACTGAGTATTTATATTCATTTCTTCTGAGTATTCATTTTTGTGTTTTGATTCAAGCGCTGCACCTATCCCTCTCTTTTTTTCCATTGTCTTTTGAAAGGTTGGTTGGTTACCTTTTTTGGTGTTCTAGCTGCTTATGTAGACTTTTTGTAGCGCTCGCTATACCTTTTAAACATTTACAACACAGTTCTGTTACTGCATCTGGACTGGAGGGTTTACTGCCGCTGCACTGCACTGCACCACCCCGCAAGTTTTTCTCAACCTTTTCAACACAGAGGAACCCTTGAAATAGCTTTCCAGTATCAGGGAACCCCTGCTAAAAATTACTTTATCTACAACTTATTATATATTAACCTCCTTAGCGGTATTCCCGAGTGTAGCTCGGGGTAAAATGTCAGTACCGAAAGCGGTAACCCCGAGCTACACTCGGGCTTACCATGCAGCGTTGCACAGGGAGTCCCTGCAGCACTTACCTTGTCCTTCGCTCCCATGATGTGTCCCCTGCAGCGTCCCCGGCCATCTCCTCCGGCCGATGCCGTCATCTGGCTTCCGTGTTCCGGTCCCTGTGACGTCGGGATGTACGGGCGCAGGAACCGGCGGCAAATTTGAAAATTTTAAAAAATTTCATTTTTTTAAAATGATTATTACATAGTAAAACATTGCTGTTTCAATGCATTTCACATACATTTTGTCCCTACTGCTTTGTCCTGTGCCCTGCCTGCATTTTGACTGTTCTTTCTGCCTGGAAACTTAGAAAAGTCCATGGCGTCCAAAAAGTGTCCCTTTACGTCAAAAGCGGTTTTAGACCAGCTAGAGAACAGCGATAGTAAATCAGAACCACTTGCAGAATTGAGTGATAATGATTCGTGGGGAAATTCCTCATCAGACACTGAAAACGATTTTGCGACTTTGCTCAGCGATGTGCGAATTTGCCTCTGTATTTCAAATTTCAGTGTTTTTGGTTTGATTATATTATTGAATTAAATGTATTATTATTATATTATTATTTTTTATGATTATTTATTAAATTATAATTTATGATTTTGTGTTTCAAATTTTATCCTACCCGGGATGTTTAATAGACTCTTGTTCGTACAGATTTCAGTGAGTTATTCCTAAATATTACAGCCTACAATAAAAAATACATATTTCCATGCAAAAAAATGGTACCGCTTTTCAGCACAAAAAAATCGGAAAGAATCATACCGCCGAGGAGGTTAATGTGATGGTTGGTGGGAAGAATGCTCCTTACACAGAAAGAATTACCCCTTACAGATAGGTAAAAACATCATTGGTGTCAGAGGGAACTTGTCTGAGAGGTAGCAATTGATCATTGCTCAAGGAACCCCTAGCAACCTCTGGAGGAACCCTAGTTAAGAAACTCTGACATAAAGCCTCATTGGGACAGTAAATGATAGAAAATATTATTAAATACCATATGGATGTTTTAAATTCCACTTTATCTAACACTAAAAAAAGGAGGTTTGGATGGCATTTGACAGCAATGATCTTCAGATCCCTCATTCTCCAGTTTGGGGGAATTTGCAGAGAGCATGCCGAAAACAAATATACAATGATTTGCATGACGCATCATTAGGATATTTATTTTTTGGTAACAGAGTCTGTTTACAGTATGTAGTGAGGTAGCGTCTCCTCTACCAGACTCTGCGCTCATACATGAAATGTTCATCTGAAAACACACAGCCCAAGAATTCCTCAAACATTGACTTCATACGTCTCTTCGGACTTATTGCACAACACTTGGGTACCCAGGGGTGTAGCTGCCATGTACAAAATTACATGCGTCAGATTAAATGATCCTGTTTCCTGGCTGACTTCATGCGTAGGCTGAAGCTATATCAAAAAACATAAGGCTAAAGGTACACTTTAACCCTACAGTTCTGCAGAATAACAAACTCGTAAAGGAGTGTCCATTATGGGCACAGGAGGGGTGCGATTGCTAGCATTCAATATTTGCATTGCAAAGCCCAGCGTAGATGTAAACACTAACTGAATGGCATTTAGTTTGCCAGAGCACTGTGCACCATAAAACGTTGCTATTTTTGTAAATACAAATTTAGCTTTAACCTTTATTGCATCCATTGTTACTAGGGATGTACCGATATCCTTTTTTTTATCTGCGAGTAGGAGTACCCATACTTTCGGTCAAGTACTCACTGCTGATTACTGACACTTTGCTGTGCAATTTGCATCAATGCAAAATGTATGGACGCAAATTGTACCGCAAAGAATAGCATGTGATTTGAACTGTCCAAATCGCATGCAGTTTCCCCACTGTTCCTGTGTGAACCCAGGCTGTCATAGCCTGAGTTCACACAGGAGTGATGCAGGGAGGTTTCCTGCAGCGGAGACTGGGCGTGTGGGGATGTGTACTATGGAAGCAGATGCTCCATATTCTCAATGGTAGGAGGGGAGAGAAAGCGTCGGGGATTTCAAATCCCCACCGCTTTCTCTCCTCTTCTTGCAGGGATGACAGTTCAGGTTAGAGGGCTTTTGATTGGTCAGCGCCGTCACATGGAACGTGCCTACCAATCAGATGCCGTCTAGCCTGTACTGTCATCCCTGTGAGGAGAGAAAGCTACTTCACAGATCTGGGGACTTGAAATCCCCATGGCTTACTCTCCTTTCTTTGCAGCTATGACAGTACGGACTAGACAGCATCTCATCAGCACGGTCCATGTGGGTTCACACAGGAGCAGTGGAGAAACCGCATGCAATTTGAACAGGAATCGCAGTCCTGTTCAAATCGCATGGTAATCTTTGCGGTATTGATGCAAATCACACCACAAAGCATCTGTTTCCTGCATTGGGAGCATTTTCACGAGTATGAAAATAGTATTGGCACCAATGACAGTATCGGTGCATCCCTAATTGTTACATCTCAGTACTTTTGCTCTCCTCCAGCTACTTTGCAGCCATATCTTTTATGCATGCATTCCAGAGATGGTTTCTTGGCATTTCTCAGTGGTGGTATCCTGACAACAATGGTCCAAGCTTCTGCAATGTGTGTCAAAGCTCACTTGCAATCTCCATTAGAAACTCGCAGGAAAGGATGACTACAGGACAGAAAAAGTGACAGTCCAAATACATATAAAGTGATGCAATCCCGGTGTGGTAATCCGTGTCACCACTGTGCTGAACTGAAGTACAGAATCCCACAGCAGCAGTAGCCAACAATCTATCCCTGGAGGAAAATGGCAGTCCCCCTGTGTTCAGCTCTGAATCCGGTGCCAAAAGAGAGAGCCAGTCCCTTGCTGTGGAAAATATCTGCTTTCCCAGCATCCTCCTCATTCACCAGCTCTCTGGTAGTTGTAGTTCAATCAGCACTCAGGAATACAGGATGTATTGGCTATAGAACTACAGGTCCCAAGATCCTCTGCTGTCAGAAAAACTGAATTTACTCTGCCAACAGGAAGTGATGTAGCAGTCCCAGTACTGGGCACTAGAGGGGAAAGAGATTAATCAGTTTTACCTGTAAATGTTCCTGAAAGGCAAAATGATATAGCCAGGACCTGGCTACATTTCTATTCCAGATAAATGTTTACGCACTCTAACTATTACTACTGCTTCTGCTAACAAGGGTCACTCCATTATCCCAATTTGGAAAGGAACCACTTACTGAATATACTTTAAAACTGGTTAGTTATCTTAGAGGTCACATTGCTGTGCTTGGTTGCCTGCCACTGTGCAGGCTGAATTTTACAAGGGAAGTTCAAGTCAAACCGGGACGTTTAATTTCATAGGTATAAAAAGGGATGCTAGAATAGTGGTACTACACATAGTATTATGTGGGAAGTGTGTCCTATTACTGATAGGCGGCGCACATGTCTTGGGCCAGTCCAGAGACTGTTAATCGAGATGACAGACAACAGTGTTAGTGCGTGCATGGAACAGCGTATGGTGATCAGGTTTCTTGTGAACGAGGCATAAAACCCATGAATATCTACAGAAGACTTCAAGCACAGTGCGGTGATGAGATGCTCAGCCATAGTAAGACATTTAATTGGTATAAATGTTTCAAAGATGGTAATCTTTGTGTTCCCAGCCCACAGCCGTCATTCCTGTGAACATTCAGCGCGTGGAGCGCCTGATCCTGGATAATTGACACATAACCTGTTGTGAAACTGCACAATTAACTTGTGGGAATGGTGAACACAATGATGATGAAGTCAAACAGGTTGTCCTAGGATGGTTCAGGTGTACTGACAAATCTTTCTATGCGGAAGCTTTCCAGGAATTAGTTAAATGCTGGAATAAGTGTATAAATGTAGCAGGGGAGTATGTCGAAAAATAAATGCAGTTTTCACTCCTTGAAATTTGTTCTTTTATTTTATAAACTCAAAAGTCCCAGTTTGACTTGAACGCCCCTCGTACATTGTAAGCAAGGGCGGACTGACCATTTGGAAACTCGGGCACCGCCCCAGGGCCCAGGGTCAGTAGGAGGCCCCATGAGATGCCCCTGGTACCTTTTTCATAGACGTTTTTGAGTTTGGGCAAGGACACAGGGGCCCCATGATCCCCTATTGCCCGGGGGCCCCATGAGTTGTCAGTCCGCTCCTGATTGTAAGGAAAGGTACCACTATACTTGGTACTCTGGGCAGGAATCGTTTTGCTCCACTAAATCTACAAATAGTGGTTAATCTTATCGCAAGATCTCCAATTACCCCTATGCTACCAGTGTCCAAAGTTTCACTACTCAGCGACACCTTTTTGGGCTGTGCACAAAATTAAAGTGTGATCTTATGTGAAAACAACATGTGAGGAATTGAGATACGTACCCTTCTCTGTATAAGAAGATTTTTCTCAGAAATTCAAGAACAAGCTGTGATTGAAAAAAATATGCATCTGAAAGGTCATCTCCTATTGTGGTGACAATGAAGAAATCGGGAAGTAATAGAATTTATGTGTAACTTCGCTAACCAAAAAAAGGTGCAGTTATTGATAGTTATCCCTTGCCACATATTGAGAAAGTATTTTCAGAAGTCAGAAAGGCTAAATTATTTTCTTGGATCTTATCTCGGATCTTCAAAGTGGATATCATCATGTTTTGCTGGATAAGGAAAGTAGGGATCTCTCTGGATCTTCAAAGTGGATAGCATCGTGTTTTGCTGGATAAGGAAAGTAGGGATCTCACTGGATCTTCAAAGTGGATATCATCATGTTTTGCTGGATAAGGAAAGTAGGGATCTCACTGGATCCTCAAAGTGGATATCATCATGTTTTGCTGGATAAGGAAAGTAGGGATCTCACTGGATCCTCAAAGTGGATATCATCATACTTTGCTGGATAAGGAAAGTAGGGATCTCACTGGATCTTCAAAGTGGATATCATCATGTTTTGCTGAATAAGGACAGTAGGGATCTCACTGGATCTTCAAAGTGGATATCATCATGTTTTGCTGGATAAGGAAAGTAGGGATCTCACTGGATCTTCAAAGTGGATATCAACATGTTTTGCTGAATAAGGAAAGTAGGGATCTCACTGGATCTTCAAAGTGGATATCATCATACTTTGCTGGATAAGGAAAGTAGGGATCTCACTGGATCTTCAAAGTGGATATCATCATGTTTTGCTGGATAAGGAAAGTTGGGATCTCACTGTATTTATTACTTTCGAGGGTCTGTTCCATTTCAGGCATGTACCTTATGGATTAGCTTCAGCACCCAGTTGTTCTAAGGAACTGACTTGGTATGCAGTGCTGTCTGAATAACTTTCATTTT